TTACTAATCATTAGCGAAGCTTGTTTCTTATATTGCCTACCTATTCTATAGAACATCCAAGTTTAAAAAGTATTTATAGGTTCTGGATGAATTAAATCATGATTATAAATTGGCGAATAATGTATATATATAAATAAAACTATTCAAATAATAATTTTACTATAGTATAGTGGGCTAATATTATTGTTTAATATTAGCTTCAATTCATTCTGAATTTAATTTAATTAATTTTCTAAATTTTGATTGCTTTATTAATTTATTTTTGCTATTTTAAAAATTATAATACATTAAAAAATATATACAGTATAATTAAAATCTTAACTATATTAAAAATTGTATCAAAAACTACTGTATATTAAATGATATAATCAAAAGTTAAAATATTTAATATTATTAGAACTAATATTTTAAATTTTTAAAAAAAAAACTTAAAATAAGAAGGTAATAAAATATTAGATAGCATGATTGTTTGCAATAAATAAAATTATCAAGTATATATGTATATAACATAGGCATAGATTTAAGTAACTTGAGATCATATATACAGTAATAAATGACCAAAGCTTCTATATATAAAAAATAAAAAAAATAATATTCCACCAAAACTAAAGATATAAAGTATATTGGTATAAGAAATAAGAATAAAGATAATAGCGCAACCAAATGTAATTTCAACAATTTCTTTATTGATAATAATATTTTTAATTCTTACTTCATTTAAAGCATCTAAAGCATCTAAAGACAACAATTCAACAAATTATAAAACTGTTAATAAACGCAAAATAGTACACAAAAAGAAAATCGAAGAGGAAAAGAAATATTTTCAGAAACGAAGAAAAGATTAATGAATTGGATAATAAAGGAACCCAAAGAAAATTATTTTACCCACCACATTCAGCAATTACTATTCAACAAATCAATTTACTTTTGATGACAAATCTGCAAATTGAGCGAAAAGACATTAAAATGAACACTAAATAAAACTTTTTTAGTAATTAATATCCTTTATTGGTTATCTGTTATAATAAAATTATACGTATACGTACGTACGTACAGTACATACGTAGCATAGGATTTATAAATTATAATTTGAAACTAATAAAGCTAATAAGCTTAATAAAATTAATAAGCTAATAAAACTAATACGTAAGCCAATAAAGCTAATAAAGCTAATACGTAAGCCAATAAAGCTAATAAAACTAACACGTAAGCCAATAAAGCTATACGTACGTACGTACGTACATATTAGTCCGATTTAATAAAGAATAAGCTAATTATTTAATACTTAGCGCCTGGGATTGGGGTTTGTGTTGTTCAATAGCATGTGCATACATACGTACATATCAATAAGACTAGTATATATAATAGAAACGATGTTTACGGACTTTAGCGGTAGTGTCACTTTGGAGGCACCTAATGTTATTATTAGGACAATTTAACCAATATCAGGTTCATTCTATAGATATATAAGCAAATTATGAATTCCTTTACACAAAACGAACGCACCACTGAATTATATGCTGATCGATGCAGAAATGTAAATTGCAATGGCGATTAACACTAAAAAATTCAGCTGTAAAGTTAATTGAAGGGTAATTATGGCGGAAAAATTCATCCGTACGTACCTGTGACTCACATATTGTCTAATTTTTAATAATATTGTTACCTCATACGTGAACAATATTTAAGCAAAATTTGATGTTGCAAATTCACAATAGCTAAAACACCAAATTGATTTATATATTTATTTGATTGTTACAATGAGAAAAACAAAAACTTTGAAAAATTGAGAAATTTCTTCGGATCATAGGATCACAGGATCACAGGATCACAGGATCACAGGAGTTTATTACAATTTTGGAACGTTCAATGATAAATCGTTATGTCGAATTTACCTAGATGCATACGTAACTATTGTTCTTGAAACACAGATTCTCATATGGATCTCATATGAAAAAGTTGGTATATATGTGCATACTACTTTAATATTTACCTCTCGCATATACTACATTAATATCAAATTACTAGTAAATGAGATGTCAATTTTAAGATTCCATTATTTTCATGTGAATTTGCATAACGATAACGTTAAAATTCTGACATTTTTTAACGTTAATGCTTTAAATGTTAATCTTTGAATTTAATGCCTTAAATGTAAATCTTTTGATAGTTGCATTTTATTATAACTAAAAATGAGAAAGGCCAATGCATTTACCTGGATTCTGGTTATATAAAACAGAAAGGTGGACAGTTATGAATGTTTTTTTGATGTATTTGATGTATTTGATGTATTTACAATAATCTTTACAATTTTTCCAACAGATTTTTTAATCTGTTTGAACTGAAGGCAGCTATCGTTTTACGTAGTCAAGCTTACGTACGTACGTACGTACCTTTAATTACAATTTTAGAAAGAATTAACATTTCTATACAAATCTATACAAATTATTTCAAGTTAGCTTACGACCTAGCTACGTACGGACAGTAATTGGGAAGTAAATTAATCTGTATATAGTTAGAAACAAATCTCGGCTCCATGATATTGTTCCATGATATAGTTTCATGATGTAGTTTCATGGTATAGTTTCATGAATTGCATTTTCATTAATAACGATAGGGAATTGATATTTCCACACCCTTTTTGGATATTGCCACACCCCTGCTAGCTCTAAACCCTAACCAAACCCTAATATTTTATATTGATTTTTATTAACAGGGGTGTGGCAATATCAAAAAAGGGTGTGGAAATATCAATTTCCTAACGATATTATAGATAACTTTGATCATTCGATCGATCTAATCGTTAAAATGGCTTCTTAGAAAGCGTGGGACTGAGAATTCTTCTTCCTGACAAACTTGTGGCATCTAAAATAGCGCTAGTTAGTAGTAATATTGTTATTCTTCGAGTGATTTATGATTTACAAGCAACTAATGATTTATGCGAATATCTATTTAGGTACTTATCGATTGACGTTGAATAGATTGTTTAAATATGTAAGTCTCAATTGCTACGTATCGTGGTTGAAATTTTTATTACAACAGTTGGTAGCCGTATAATTCCGGTGATAGCTATTATGGTATATAATGATATATAGGTATATTCTCATCTTAATACTGAATTTAAAATTAAAGTTTCGTGTAATCTATTAAGATTTTTGATTTACGTACGTACGTACAAAACAAATGACTATCGCTATGTATACACAATTAAATTTTCAAAATTTATTCTATATAGCATATATATAGCATATATATAGCATATTGACAAGGAACTCTATTCTCATTTCTTTTACATTGTGACGCGTACGTATGTAATCTAATGGTTAACCTAATGATGTAATACGTATATATATATATATATGTATGCTATTGGTGAAAAAATTAGACCTGGGTACATCCGTACGTACAAATCAGATATTTGAAATCCGTAAGTGCGTAAATATATAAGTAAACCATGTTCTTTATTTGCGATGCTTTCGTTGTTAAAATCTTATTTAAATGTTTATCGTTACAAATTATTTATTATAAAGATAGGATTGATTTGTTATTTTAAACAAAGAGTCTTAGTCTTTTTTTACTAAGGAGATGGTCCTGTAACCTAGATATGGTGATTTTCTTATCATATAATTAGTATTAGTTTTACATATGTGATACGTACATTATTTCCTATGCAACGATTTAACAGATCCTATATAGTCTAGATCAACAATGTACTCGATCGATCATTGGATTTTATGATTACAGAGTTTATGCAGCCTATCGCTATCTATCGCTATGCATTAAACTATATGCAAAAAAAAGAAATTTTCTTTGCCCTATAATCACGTGTGCCGATATTGCATAAAACCTGTTAGACTTTAACCAAATATACAATGTAGATTAATGCACAATATTAAGAATGTACAATGCATACGTATCTGAATTTAGAAATCAAGAGTTGGATTGTTTAAATTCTATTAATTAATTATGATTAATTATGTGGATTTTATTAATTATGTTGATTTTACATTAAGTTTTATGTGGATTTTAATATTAATAAAAAGAGCAAAAAATATACGTACTTTCTGAAAAAAAAAATTAAAATTTTTTTTTGTTCATCTTTTTTTTTTTATTCTTCATGCAAATATAAATTTCTCTTCAAACGAGATCATTCTGAGATCATCCTAAAGGTCTTCCTGAGATCAAAGTTATCGTGTTTTTTTCATTCATTCATACATTCATTCATCAAATATCACGTATATATACCTTGCCATAATTCAATAATGAATCTATTCGCCTTATTTGACGCGGTTTACAACCTTTTTTCAAACCATCTCGATCTCTCTCTTTTATTATCCTTCCTTCTCATTTATTTCGCTATATATCCTTATTTTAATTTCTTTAAATCTCGTAAAAACCGTGCTCCTGGTCCTATTCCTCTTCCCTTCATAGGCCATTTTCACATTCTTTTTGGCAATATTGCTGATAATTTTTATAATTTAACTAATAATTATGGCGGTATTTGTGAATTAGAAATGTTTGGTTTTCGTACCGTCTTAGTCGGTGATCCTAATTTTTTAAAAGATTTATTCTCTCCAAGTGTCCATTCCCCTTTTTTACGTAGAATTCCTTTATTACCTGGTTTTAAAGAATTAGGAATGGATAAAGAAGGTTTATTATTAAATTTAGATATTCCAAAATGGAGACATAATCGAAAATTCTTTCAACAATCTTTATCTCCTCCAAGTTTTATTGAATTAAGCACTTTATATACTCGTGAATGTTGTGAAGAAATGATGACTTATTGGGATGATGTTAAAAATACGCAGGTCGTTAGATTGGATGAATGGTATCGTGCTTTTACTAGTGATATGATGGGTTTGGTTGCTGCTGGTTCTAAAGAAGATTCTTTAAAAATTCAATATAAAAAAACTGTTGGTAATAATGCTAAATTCTCTTTTAATTTAGAATCTGATATTCTTGATGATGATTTAAATAATTTAAAGAATTTAAGTAATGGCGAACAATATCGAAGATTACGTTCGGATTATTCGGATGCTGTAGCTTTTTTCGTATTTATTCCAAAATTTATTTGGAATTTACCTTGGTTCAGCAAAAAATGCAATTATTTTCGCCAAGTTTTACTTAGTCTCTCGGAATTTGAAATTAAATTTATAAAAGAACGTAAAGCTATGATTGAAGAACAAAAATATATCAGCTCTACAACTTTATCAACTAATGATATCAATAAAAATATTATTAGTCCTAATTGGAGTGGAACTAAAGTAAGATCGGATTTTCTTACAATGTTACTTACCATGAATAATGATGATTCAAATCCATCTCCTGAAGATATTAAACAAAACATTCGAGAAATGTTTGGTGCTGGAACTGGTACAACAACTACAGCTCTTTGTATTGTCACTTATCTTTTGGCAAAACATCCTGAAGTTGAAAAACGTATGGTCAAAGAAATTTTAAGTGTCATTGGTCCAACAAAAAATATTGGTTCCTATGATCTTTCAAAACTAGTTTACACTGAAGGTGTTATATATGAAGCAATGAGATTATATCCTATTGCTCCTATAACTTTTCGATATACACCAGACGTTTCCACTCAAATTGATGGTTATAATTTTCCACCAAATACTATTTTTGGTATAAATTTAGCTCATATTCAACGAAATGAAAAATATTTTAAAGATCCTGAAATATTTAATCCTGAAAGATTTTTAGGAAATTGGAGAGCAACTTTACCGACATTTGCTTTCTCTCCTTTTGGTCAAGGAATGAAATCTTGTCCTGGAAAACATTTTGCTATGACCGAAACAAAAGTTATTTTAGCTACTATTTACAGAAAATATACTTTTAAATTAGTTAAACCAAAAGATCCATTACATTTAAAATTTAACCTCGTTAATGATATTACAAAGTTGGAAGTTTTTCTTGAAAAACGAAAATTAGAGTAATTTATATTGCATATATTTGCTCTTTATTATATATATGTATCTGTTTTATATATATATCGTGTTTATATATATATCGTGTTAATTTTACATAGCATTTCATATTAATAAATATTCATAATAACAATAATAATAACAATAATAATAATAATATAGTGACGTTTCTCATTTATCTCAATTATCTCAATTATCTCAATTATCTCAATGTTTTTAAAATTGGTTCTAAAGTATCAAAAATTCATGCTTTAAGCAATTTATAATGTTTATAATAATTTAGAAATCTCAAAAAAAATGTTATGCATATAATGAACATGTCGGTTTATGTTTTTTATTTCCATGTTCGCGTATCTCATTATAATCTGCCAAACACCTATAAAATACAAAAATATATAGATATTTTTTTATCAAAGTTAGCATTTCAATCACATCAATAAAGTAAATTAAATAACTCATTTATTTAGTTACTTACAACCAACAAAATTCATAAGAACATGATCTGATTTTACATGTCATATGATTACATCCGCCACTTTTCTCAATGTGGGTTCCACATTTAGGACAAGGTTTTGTATGCCTCATAAGATAATGATTAGTGGCGGCTTCTGATTCCTTTTTCTTTTCTTCATATTGTGCACATGACATATTTTCATGCCATGGGACATCGTGTGTGTAGCATGATTTCTCTCCACATGATTCGCATGTCATTATCGGCGCATCATCTACATAATACATAAAAATATATTGATTATATATAAATATGGATACTTGTTTGCGATGGTGAAAATAATAATAATAATAATAATAATAATACGTAATAATAATAATAATAATAATAATGGTTATTATATTATTATATTACCTCCTTGATAATGAATTTGACCAGATCCACATCTAGAATTTTTACACCATCTAAAATCTGGCATGACTCTTAATGCTTGACGAAGTGATAATGTATCAAATCTTTGCGAAAAAAATAAAAAAAGATAAAAAAAAAGGGTGAGATATGTATAACATTTTAATACAATAATACGATTATGATATTACCTCTCAAATACCTCACGACTAGCTATTCTTTTCACATCGTTATGTTCAATAACTTGTTTACAACCTCCGGAAAGACAATGAATAACTGCATCACCTTTTCCAGACAAACTTGTATCTATGTGTCGTTCAACACACTCCCTGCATACGTTATTTTCATGTGTGCATTTTGATGTTATAGCTAGAAATGATTTAGGTGGTTTTTTTTCTACACATATATTACATTCTCGATTTATATGATTACCCTTCTGTGTTGGCTACATATTAATTTTTTTTCTTTAATGTGAATACAATAAACTCAAAAAATCAAAATTCAAAAAATATTTAGAATTCATTATAATTACAATATTGTAATCATCTTTGTTGTTTTTAACATGACGCCTCGAAAAAATCTTCCACATAATAATTCACCTTGGGAATATAATTATTAAACGCAAAATGTGTATATTATTATTAAAACAAATCAAAACAAAAAGGATAAAAATTCTGCAATTTATTATTGTTCCTCAGCCTAAATTTTGTGTGCTAAAAAAAGATTTTTAGTCACGTAACACAAAATATCGTCACCGTTCTAGGGATGTTTGATGAATTACACATTACGGTTACACGGATCGCTGATTTATACTTTCAATTGGTTACATGTCAAAAGCTTAAGAAACTGTCATAGCTGTATAGTCAAAATGTTATTTCTCTTAAATTAAAATAAAGTTTAACATAAAGTTGCTACGAATCAAACGATCTTTATATAAAATATTACATCTTGGAAGCGGCAATTATCAATGTTTTTAGATAAAGTCTAAGATTACTTTCTCGTAATTGGATGATCACATGAAATTCATTTAGAATGTTCTAGAATAGGTGGGCAAACTCCGCAAACTCCGCTATAATGATTACTAATTATTAGCGAAGCTTATTCCTTATATTGCCCACCTATTCTATAGAATATCCGAAATGGGATAATTGGTCTCTAAACTACAGTATACGTATAACTTATATATTAACCAATAAATCGACAAACTATTAATAACGATAATATTGTATAGACTGTATATGGATAACACCAAGGAATGTTTTTTGTCACAATCCCGAAGGATTTATCACATAGTTTAAACCTTCGAAAATTCGGGTAACTAAATTCTGCAATATACCAAACACCTGCATGTAAAATCTGATAATACCAATACGCTTTAATTTTTTTTTGTCAATCAATAAATACATACACCATGTGGAAATCAACTTGAAAAAGCTATAAATTTTGTGCAGCATTAACTTAAGCTTTGAATTATTTCTACGTATCAAAATTTGATGCTTAATCTAATTTTTTTCACTACTTCTAGCCAGATCAATATATATCTGAACAGTGTTTTTTTATTTATTTAAGAAAATGAAATATCTAAAATAAAAGAAAGTTCGAAGGGTCTATTTTGTAGCTTAAAATTAAGTTGTAACGGATGTTTGTCTTCATCATTTAGAATGCTGTGAAATTCGGATGACATTCCGGCTTTTTTTATCGCCTATTTTCCGTATTTGCTTAATTCATTAAGTTGTTATATACCTTCCATAACTGTATCGCCATAGCCATGTTAATCTTACCTTTATAGTATTAGACATTATTATGTATTCTTAGTGGCTTAACTCATGTGAACCCCCCTTGCCGCGTAGACGTGCAAATAGTCGCATAGACATTACTAATGGAACGTAAACGCACCATTCGTAGCGTAGACGTTATCATTTTGGCGTTCACACCATGAGAAATTAAAATGGATATAAAGGGTTGTTCTCGCCCTTAATCTAAATAAAGAATACATAAATATACATTCTTTTCTAATAATAAATGCCTAATAACTATGAATACGAGTTTCCTATTTTTCCATCAAGTTTCCACATCTTCTCTTACCATTGAAGTTAAACCTGGCATAATTGATGAAAGCCCTCCTATAAGATGATTACACTATACATGCTGCACACAAACATTTAAAATCCCAAATCCCAAGTTTTCAATTCACATTTTAATTATAATACATCCCTCTAACTAAATTAAGTATGTAAGATAAAGTGAATTCATTTATAAAATAGTGCTACGTAGGGGTGTATCTTGTGCAAGATAAAACCTAGTATACAGTATATTTAGCATATCGATGTTTCATGCAAGATTATTGTTATAGTTATATCGCGCAAGTTATCTAAAAATTTCATTTTAAAAACATTATGATATTTGGTTTGTACAAATTGTATGAAATAGAATTTCCAAACTTACGCGATTTCAGGGATTTATTTATTGTTTAAACA